CAGTTTTCATTACACTGTTGACCAGCTTGAACCCAGAGTCCCTTTTGAAAACATCCCCTAGTTTCCCGCTCAGAACCCTGTGATGGAGGGTTGTGCTAGTTCTGTGACGTGCCCAACCGCCAGTCTTCTCCTCAGCATCACAGAGTAAAGAACATGGGCTCGAGACTTCCGTTAAGATGGCGGAATAGACAGACGCTGTGTCAACTGTCTCCCAGGATCACACCAAAATTACAAATAATTTATAAAACATTCAACCTCGGAAGTTCCCTGGACTCTAGATGAGCAGAACCTTTAAATGAAGGACTTAAAGAGGAGGCCACTTCAAGTCTGGTAGGAGGGGCGGAGACAAGAGAGGACAAACCCCGTGAGGGACACCTCAGCAGTGGGGAGGCTTCTCCGGTTGGGGGTGAGACCCTCCGGCCCCACACCGTGCTCACCAGCCCAGAGTTACGTTGCCGGGAAGAGGAATTCTATGATAGCTCGAAGTAGAAAATAGTGAGGACTCTCTTTGCTCAACTTGGTGAGGCTGAGGGCAGCTGGAGAACCAGTGGAGCCGGCAAACCAACTCGCTCGCTGGTGAGCACTCACCCAGTTCCTGGTGGAGGGAGTAGCTTTGTGAGCGGGGCCCAGGAGCCTCCGGGAAGGACTGAACTGAGTGCCTTTGGCATGGGAGCTGGAGGATTTGGGGACCATGGTTCCCCTGGTGTGGAGCTGGCACACAGTAGTGCACAAGAGGGTGCCATTTTTTTAGGGCTGGGCCCTCCCACAGAGGCTCAGGTCTGGGACTGTATTGGTCTGCTGGAATTGGCGCAGGAGTTCATGTGTGCGTGTGTGCGTGCATGCGCATGCGGCCTTGGATCCCCACCCTCCATACTGCTTGTGTTGCGTAGCCAGGGAAACGCCGGGCAAGCGCGCTCCGACTACAACAGACTGCTTACTGAGACAGGAAATGCGCGACTCACCTTAGTACCCCAATTTCCGCACTGCGCATGCAGAGTTGCCTGGGTGGCGATTGGCTGTCAGGCTGCTCGGCCTGATCTTCGAGCACCTGATTGGGACAGGCTGAGACAGGGAGTTTTCCTGAGAGTGTAGGGCCATGAGCTGCGTGCCTGCGTGATTCGGGCGAGGCTTTCCTGGCAAGTTTGTGTGGGTTGGCTGCTGATGCAGGAGTGCATGCTGCTCTGACTTGGTGGGGGCCACTGACCACATCCTGTGGTACCTTGGGGGCCTGCCCTGCCCACCTAGAGCTGTGATGCAAGGGGCACCCTGAGCCCCTGGTCCCTGGCTCCTACCTCCGCAGGCCACAGATGGTTTTTTTGCAGCAGCAGACAGTCGCAACAACCTGTGAGGATTTTTGGTGGTGAGCACAGTTCCAGAGCACACAGCAACTAATTGTGGGAAGCTTACTTCAAGTCTAGAGGGAGATCGGCGCATGACGCACTGAGCCCTTCCCCCCAACAGCTGGTGCTGAGTCACCCAGAATCTCTCTATTGCTGAGCAAGTGGTCTGCAGATTAAAGCGGGCA